CCCGTGATGAGCCCCAGCTTCCGCCAGGAGCCTCCCAGATTGGGGTTCAGGAAGCTGGCCACGTTGGAGGCGTTGTAGGGTCCTACGCAGAGCAGCAGCGTGAGGAGGGCCCCGCCGGCTACCCAGGCGGCCCTCAGCTTCCGCCTGTGCGTCAGGCCGGAGTGGGCCAGTGCCCGGAGGCAGCCCACGTAGCAGAAGGCTGTGATGGCCAAGGGCAGGAAAAAAAGCAGGAGAGAGAGGCTGAAGCGGGCTGGGCCGGCAGAGGCCGGGTCCCAGGCCTCCAGGCAGACGGGAGAGCCGTTGACCGGTGTGTTGATGCCCAGGGAGGTGTTGCTGTGGTCCAGCCAGCCTCCCGGAGCCTCCAACACAAAGACCAGACCCAGGTGACACAGGACGAGGGCCCAGATGGCCGCACACACCCCCCAGGAATAGCACGGCCTCCGGAAGGCTTGGTAGCCCAAGGGGAAGGCCGCTCCCAGGTAGCGGCCTGCACTCAGGGCGGCCAGGAAGCCCCCGCCGGCATAGAGTGGAGCAAAGTGGGCCACCCCGAAGACGGGGCACAGCGAGGCCGGCAGAGGCCAGGCCCCGGAGGCCAGCGCCTCCACCGCCTTCAGGGGCAGGGAGACTGTCAGCAACAGGTCGGAGCAGCCCAGGTTCAGGGCGTAGACCAGGCTGGGGGTGAGACGGCGTCGGGCGTGGGCCCTCGCGCCTCGGATGGCCAGGACGTTGAGGGGGAAGCCCAGCGCAAAGGCCGCCACATAGAGGGCAAAGGAGAGCTGCGGGGGCAGGTCCATGGGGCCACTGTCCTGGCCTGCAGGGCTCCTGTGTGCAGCTGGCTCCCTGGTCTCAGATCTTGGGGCCCCTGAGAGGAGGGGCTCCTGGGATCACTGACGGGTTCCAGCCCTGCCTGGAGGATTAGAATTCACCTGATGGGATCACGGAGGAAACGGAGGCCCACAGTGGAAGGCAGCAGCCAGGGAGCCGCCGAGCCTGGATGAGAAGCTGGGACCTGTGGCCCCTAGTCCTGTGCTTTCTCTCCACCATATCACTTCTTAAAACCGGGGAAGCTCCTGCAGTGTCACAGGAGATAGGATGTGGCACAGATGTCCAAGCCGACTCCCCCAGGGTGCATGGCTGGGTGGTGCAGAGGAAGAAGGCTTCTCCATTTCTGAGACTCTGTAGGGAGAAGGGGTGGAGAGAATTCAGAACAGGGCTGGGCCCCACAGCCTGAGCCTTCCCTGGGAATGGGAGTTTGACTCCTGAGCCCACTGCCCTCCCCGGTTCCCTGGCAAGGCAAGAGCTGCTCCCCCACAGTGGGAAGTCGGCAGGGCAGCAGGGAGGAGAAGGGTGTGGATGAGGTGAGGGTGTGGCCAGGGGCAGGAAAAGGGGGTCCCCCAGGGAGAGCTCAAGGGTCAGCTGGGCCCCATCCATGTCATGGTTGAGCTTAGCAGTTCTCAGGGGCCACCTGGGCAGGGGTCTGGAGGTCTGGGGAACAGTTAGGTGAAGAGAGGAACCACAGAGAGAGGGACCCACCTCCTGGCGCCGCCAGATGTCTCTGAGGCTCAGCAGTCCCCTCAGCGGGCTGATGGAGGATGCCCGTGATGAGCAGTGAGCCGGAAGGGGAGGAGGGCAGGTGGCAGGGCCATTAGCCTGAGGTTCTAGCAGCTTGGGTGAGCAGCTAATGGGGCATCCCGGCTGGAGGTGAGGCCACACCAGAGGAGGTGAGGGGCTGGGAAGATGCTGGAACACAGAGGGGCCAGGGAGGAATCGGGGTCCTGTCTGGGTAGGGGCCGGGTGTGTAGCCAGTGCCTTGCAACAGCAGGGCTTGGGGGCTCGGCCACAACCCAGTGCTAGTCCCTCCCCAGCCCTCCTGCTTGTTTATACCTGCGCTGGGGCCAGGTCTTCTCCACCCTCGATGCACCCCTGGGCAGGCCCCAGGTCTCACTGGCTCACCTCTGACAACACAGGGTGCCCCGTGACCACAGCCATGAAGCCATCTCCACGTGGCAGTGGGTGTGTGGGATAAGGAGTGATCACACCCAGGTGCGGCTCTGCACAGGTTGTGGGCTTGTTTTCGTTTTTGCAAGGAGGGGCCCCTCTGTTCTGCCTCTCCTTCCCCTCTAGTTCCAGGATGGTGGCTTCTGACCTTTCCAGGGCTGGAGAAAGGAGCAGGAGGAGGAAGGCAAGGGATGGGGGCAGCCTCTGCTGGCTGGCACTGGAGGACCCAGGTTGTGGCCCCCACTTTGCCTGTCAAGGGGTGGCACAAATGTCCAAGCTGACTCCCCCCAGGGTGCATGGCTGGGGACATTGGGGGGCACTCCCTGAGGCACAAGGAATGTGGCACCGGCCGGCTGCGTAACTTCCTTCTCTCAGCCCTGGGAATCCTCCCAGCCTTTCATGTTCCCCATTTGGGTCACCTGAGTCTCCCAGGAGGACCTAAGGAAGATTTCTAACCTCTCTGGATGCTCTCTCAGGTGTGCCCATGCCTGCTGGTGAGAAGCCAGCTCTGCTCTGTGATTCTGTCTCTGTCTCTCACTGTGCCAGTGTCTGTCTGTCTGTCTGTCTGTCTGTTTCCTGCCTCAGAATGACAATACAGCCTCTCCACATCAGTTTTCTCAGGCGTGTGTGGGTCACCTGACCACTCTGCCCCTTCCGAATTCCAGATGTCCCATCATAAACCTCTCTCTGTGTGGCCTCCTGGCAGCTCCAGTCACCAGGCTTCAGGGGGAACAGCAAGGGGGTCTCAGCCTATCACTAACTCCCTCAAAGACACCATCTCACTGCTTTTCACACCTTGGAGTCACTAAATTGGTCCATGCTCTCCTTTTTCTCCCCCAGCGGGAGCCGCGCATGAGGTGCAGCACCCGCTGTGAGCAGAGAACCGGCCTCCTAATGTTCCGTCTGTTGTTGGGAACCGAGAAAGGGACAAAACCGAGGAAGAATCCAAAGCAGTGCCATTTCCCCTCCTATAGGAAAAGTGAAGCCCCGGGGAGCTGTTGGGTTTTCCAGATGTTCTCTGCTTTGGTTCCACCCACCTGGCGTCTGATCTTTGCCCAAGGTCACCTCCTCCAAGGGCCTTCCCGGGTGCCTCAGCCACACTGATCCCTCCCGCGAATCTCACTTTTGTTGTCTGTCTTCAGTGCGACATCGTCTTGGCTGGCTCCTGAGCTAGAACGCCGGGCCTCCTGAGGGCAAAGGCTTTGGTCTGCTTTGTCTACTGCATGTTGCACAGCAGGTGTTTGGGAACCTAATTGCACGATCCATTATCTGGACCCTGGGAGGACGGTGAGAGCTGGGGTTGTGGAGGGCGGCTTGCGTCTGGAGCCCTGGCCGCCCAGCTTCCTGGGCACCTGCTCTTCATGCTTCAGCAATGTCTATTGATGGCCACATCTCATGGTCAATCAGCCATGTAGTAGGTTTATGTCAGCAGCTGTGCTGAGGGACAGGGTGGGAAGGGGAAGACGCTCGATGGTTGCCAGGGAGCCTGAGCCAGGCCCTTCAGGCTTAGGACTGCCTCAGCTCCCTTCAGGGGGTCTTGCCTTAAAAACCCTTGGCAGCCCTAGACTGCAGATCCCCAAGGTTGGTCCTATGCCTTATCTTTTTGGTGCCCTAACAACTGGCTCTGTACTGGGTGCATTTCCAGGTGCTCAGTATCTGTGTGCCGAGTAAATGAAAAAAGGGTTGAATGACATCAGACCTCATTTTGGGCACAGACACCCCAACACCCTCCCTGTCTCATTTAAACAGTTTTTGTTGTTGTTGTTGTTTTGAGACGGACTCTTGCTCTGTCACCCAGGCTGGAGTGCAATAGTGTGATCTCGGCTCACCGCAACCTTCACCTCCCGGGTTCAAGCGATTCTCCTGCCTCAGCCTCCCAAGTAGCTGAGATTACAGGTGGGAACCACCATGCCCGGCTAATTTTTGTATTTTTGGTAGAGAGAGGATTTTGGCATGTTGGCTAGGCTGGTCTTGAACTCCTGATCTCAGGTGATCCGCCTACCTCGGCTTCCCAGAGTGCTGGGATTACAGGCGTGATCCACCACGCCTGGCCTTTAAATAGTTCTTAAAGTCTCACCTGCCTCCAGAAAAGTGAATGGTGCTCATGAGAAATCAAACCAGGGACAAAGTGGATTGATGGGGAGATCAAGGCCTCCCTGCACCATAATTCCTAGAGTTACCATCCAGGTACTGAGCAGAGATGGGAGGGAAAGGAGGATGGGAAAGGAAGGTGGCAGTTTGGGGAAACCTGCCACGTGCCAGGAGGCGATCTCCTTGATGGTCAGATAATCACACCCCTGCCCTCTAAGGAGAATGGGCCCCTTTGCCGAAGCAGGTGAATGGGTGGAGAAAGATCAAACCTGAGAAGCGAGAGGGGAGCTGGGGCACCCAACTGGAAAGCCTGAATCGGTGAAGAGAATTAGGGAACGGGTGCAGAGGACCTTGAACGACAGCAAAGCCGTGAGGTTTCTCAGGGTGGCTGGTCTTCAGGACTTTCTCTGGCAGCTATGGGTTGTGCAAGAACTGAGTAGCGTCACTTTTGGGAAGAGCCGTTTTGAACTGGCTTCCCCTTTTCACATTCTTCGAGAAATGCAAATAAAGGACGGGGGTTTGTTTTCTGGGGGACTTTCAGTTTCTGTGCTGGGTCTCAGTGTGGCTCCAGCATATATAAGACGATGCCTCACGTCCTATCGTGGGCCACCTGCGTGGTAGGCAGTGGTCTCTCCCTCTCCACTTTACAGATGGAGAAAACGAGGCTCAGGCAACCTGGTGAACCCTGCCAAGATCACCGGGCTAGTTAAGCCAAAGAATGAAGATTCAAGCTCTCACGCTTGTCTGCCTGCAGAGCCAGTATGCTTTTCCTAACAAGACACCAGACTCTCTAATCTGCTGGTCTGATCACTAAACCACTGTGACTCCATTTCCTTCCCCCCAGGCCCCGTGAAGCCTTTCCCCTCTCCTCATCCCCACTCTGACTCCACAGACTGAAAAGCGTTCGCTGGTTCTTTGAAGTGGCATCTGAGCCATTTTTATTGTGAGCTCTGTCTCCGTGGCATGTTAATCCATACCAGTGTGTCCGTCTCAAACCCGGAGTCCTTGGAGTCAAGGGGGCCGCTGTTATGTATGCCTCCCTGTGCAATGCCTCACTTCCAGAGGGGAAGCCAGGCCAGGACGGGGCCCTTTCCTACTTCATTTCTGTCCTTTTCTGGGCTCTCCCCCAGAGGCAGAAACTGGGCATAGTATTTGTGACTGGGGATGTCAGATCAGGGGTAGGGGACCAGAGGGATGTAGAAGGGAAGGAAAAATGATGACAAGCAGATCCCAGGAGGGACACAAGCCGCTGGGGGTGGGGGTGGCCAGTGGCCGTGGTGGGGGCAGGGGGAGGTGTGCATGTCAGGGCAGGTGTTTAGATGGGTTTCTGGGTAGCAAGGAGCTGGGTGGAACAGAACAGGGACAGGAGATTTGGAGTGTTGGGGTTACCCTCACCGAAAAGGCTGGCTCTGAGCCAGGCACAAGGTTCTCCACAGTGAGCATGTGTGTGGTGTGTGTGTGTGTGTGTGTGTGTGTGTGTGTGTGTGTGTGTGCGCGCGCGCGCGCATGCGCGGAGGAGGAAGCCATGTGGTGGTGTCTGGGGAAGCTCTGGGACTTCTCTGGCCCCTGCTGCCCCCAGCGCCTCCGCCGCAGTCCGTCCGGTGTCAGTGCTTGACAATCACATAGTCCACATTTTCTTGTGCCTGAGGCCGCTCCCCGAACCCAAACTGAATCAGCTCTGAGTAATGAATCCCCTCATCTTCTGGAAAATCTGGAATGACGTTCTCATAGTCGCCCTGAGAAAACCACGTGGTGGTCAGCCTGGCCCCGCTGTCGCCAGCCTCCACCGCTGCTTTTCTCTGCATTCTCTCCTTCATTCCACCCGGGGCTCCAAAAGCCCAGGCGGGCGTCCTCGTGTCAGGAAACTGGCTGTGGCCAGTATCCAGGACCCAGAGGTACCTGCCTGGCTCTGACCCGCTCTGCCAGAGCAACCGTCTCCAACACCCAACCTCTGCCACGATGGATGCCTACCCAAGTCCTTCCTATGTGGGAACCACCGCTGAAGCCAGGCGTCTGTCCCCAGCCTTCCACAGCCCCACCCTCCTTACCACCTGACGCTTCTGCAACACTGAATAAGTGACTGTGTCATCGCAGTCTGGGGGAAGTCTCTGCATCTCTGGGGTCTCTGCATCTCTGAGAGAGAGGGCAGACAGATGACCACGTATGAAGCATCTCCGATGAACTCTCCTCCCTCTCAACACCCAGAGCCCCCAACAGCACCCCAACCTCAGCCCCTTATGTAAAACCTGAGGCCTCCCCAGTGCCCAAAGCTCACAGCAGGAGCTCGTGGAAATGTGTGTGGAGGGAGTAGGCGTGGGTGTGTATCATGAGGTCTTGACCTTTGTGGTAAGAACGGACTGGGCATGTGCGCTGCTGACTTGAAGAAGCAGGTCCACTTCCGGAGACTGGCCCTTACCCAGAGGCTTGTTATGGCTTGTTACCCAGAGGCTTGTAATGAGGCAGTGCATGTATCAGGGTGCCTGGCATGGGCCTGGCACAGAGGGCAGGCGAGACAAGAGCTTTTCCTCCCGCCTCCCTCCCAGGGTGCAGGGTCACCCTACTGGTACCCTCAGTACCCAGTTCGTGGTGTGTTCGTCTCGGGAAAGCGCAGGGTGGCGTAGCTAATGCCATCTTCCATCATCGGATTGTAGCATCCCAGGGAGTGGGGACCTTCAGAGAGGGGGGTCCTTCTAACCTGGGAGGGAGACGAGGGTGAAGTGCTAACCACCTGTTACCCAACCCTCGTCCCCTTCCCTGGCCTCTGACAGCCCAGGTCTCCCCAGAGGACATTTTGTCTCCTTCCTTCACCTTGTTTCCCCACTCAGCTTCACGGTCTGCCTCGTGCCTATCCTTTTTTTTGGTGGAGGGGGCAGAGTCTCAGTCTGTCACCCAGGCTGGAGGGCAATGGCGTGATCTTGGCTCACTGCAACCTCCGCCTCCAGGGTTCAAGCGATTCTCCTGCCTCAGCCTCCTGAGTAGCTGGAATTACAGGCATGTACCACCACGCCCGGCTAATTTTTAAAATACTTTTGGTAGAGACAGGGTTTCACCATGTTGGCCACGCTGGTGTCAAACTCCTGACCTCAGGTGATCCACCTGCCTCAGCCTCCCAAAGTGCTGGGATTATAGGCATGGGCCACCGCACCCAGCTCCATCCTACCTTTTTGTTCCTCACAAAGAAGCTCTGGCCACTGGAATTCTCCTGAAGCCCCTGCTGGCTCTGTGTCCTCTTCCAACTGAGAAATAAAAGCACAGGTGTGAGGGTCAGGGACTCCACAGGCTGGAGGCTTCGAGATGGACACGGGTCTCTGCCAACGGAAAGAGGAGGTGGTGGGGGGCAGCAGGAGCTCACCGTCGCTGGACCTTGAATCCACATATTGCCAGGATGAGGATGGCCAGGCAGGACCCGAGTCCCACAGCCACTCGCCTGCCAATGGTCTCCGGGCTATCTGGATGGAGAAAGGAGAGACCTTAATCAGCTGAGAGGCCAGCTCTGCCTGGCAGCCTTTGCCTGGAAGGCATCCTGGACTTCTCTCCGCAGCCAGACTTGTTCTTCTCCCCTGCATACATGGGACAGGGGTGCAGAGGAAGAGGGTGACACCGGCCCCTGCTTGCTCTGGGCCTCCCTTTAGGAGGAAGGCACTAATTCTCCTGTGGAGCTGCTTTTCCCACAGACACGGCACGCCCAGAGCCTGTGACCCGCACTCGCATGAACGGGTGCAGCTCTTCACAGCAGTATGGCTGTGTGATCAGCTCTGAAAATGCACCTGTCTTCCACCCAGCAATTCCACATGGGAATGCATCTTGCAACTGTCCTTGCAAGCATGCCCAAAACAAGAGGCTGCAGATCTAGGCCCTGAAGAGGGCACTGGGAGGAGGACGTATGCAACCTTCATATGCGAGGACTCCATGGCCCTGGGAAAAAGAGGAGGCTGTCAGGCTGTCTGCAGAGGGGACACCCAGGGAACAATGGTTTTATATGATGGGATGTGTCTGTTAGATTTCTGATAACATGTTCCAGATATTTTCCTTTGGCCTTCAGTTGTGCTGGTGATGGTTCCCTAGATTGACTGATTGATTGATTGAGACAGAGTCTCGCTCTTTTGCCCAGGCTGGAGTGCAGTGGTGAGATCTTGGCTCACTGCAACCTCCACCTCCCGGGTTCAAGCGATTCTCCGGCCTCAGCCTCCTGAGTAGCTGGGACTACAGGTGCGCACCACCACACCCAGCTAATTTTTGTATTATCGGTAGAGATGGGGTTTTACCATTGGCCAGGCTGGTCTCGAACTCCTGGCTTCAAGTGATCCACCCACCTCAGCCTCCCAAAGTGCTGGGATTATAGGCATGAGCCACTGTGCCTGGCCAGGTTCCCTCAATTTAAGGCCATGTTTCCAATTATTAATCTGAAAAAGTACAATGAATTAATTAAATATGTTCCCTATGCTTCCAGATTCTTTTCTGTTGTTGTTATTGTTTTGTTTGTTTATTTTTAAAAAATTTTTTTGGTATTTTTTGTAGAGATGAGGTCTTGCTATGAGGTATGGGCTATGTTGCCCAGGCTGGTCTTGAATTCCTGGGCTCAAGTGATCCTCCCACCTCAGCCCCTCAAAGTGTTGTGATTACAGGCATAAACCACCACGCCCAGGCTCCAGACTTTAGACATTCTGTGTATGCATAGATACAGAACAATGTCCAAGCAGTATTATTACATGGAAGAAAGCAAAGAAAATTCCTGGGCAAAGTGTGAGCTCTGCCTCGTCTGTGTCACGAGGAAGGGTGTATGTGCACAGACCTCTGTATGTGAATTGTGTGTGTGAAAAATACCCCTGGGGGGAGATGGGATGACTGTGTGCAGTGAGGACCTTTGGTGGGGATAAGAGTCCTTGGGGATCAAGAGTGAGCCGTATCTGTCTTTCCACTATTTACCCTTTCATGCTTACATTTTATTTTTTTACCGTGTGCTTGTATGATCTGTTTAAAAATCACTCAAGTCAACTACTCTGGAGGTCAAGGCAGGAGCATCACTTGAGCTCAGGGGGTCGAGGCTGCAGGAGCTGAGATTGTGCCACTGCACTCCAGCCTGTGCAACAGGGTGAGACTCTGTCTCAAAAAAAAAAAAAAAAAAAATCATTTACATCTTAAAAGATAAAAACAAGGAGGCTGTCAGGGCTGAGAGAGACAGAGTAGTCAGAGAGAGAGAGAGAGAGAGACAGGGACTCAGTAGGCGCTCAGGACTTCTGGAAGGTGGAGCAGCCTGAGAGGGGACCCTAGACGGAGGCAGGAGAGACTGCAGGGGAGGTAGAAAAAGAGAGAGACTGATGACGCAGGACAGGATGACTTCTCCAGCACAGTGGCAGGTGGCCTGGAGCAAGGGGTGTGAATGGGAAAGGGGACAGTGAGGTGGGGAAGAAGGGGCCAGCTGGTCTGGAAGGCTTTTAGGGAAGTCACAGGAGCAGACAGGGCCAGAGAGGAACCTGAGAGGAAACAGGGAGGAACTAAGGGCACAGTGGCTCATGCCTCTAATCCAAGGGCTTTGGGAAGCTGAGGCAGAAGGGTCACTTGAGGTCAGGAGTTTGAAACCAGCGTAGGAAACATAGTAAGACCCCATCTCTACAAAAATGTAAACATTGGCCGGGTGGTGCATGTCTATAGTCCCAGCTACTCAGGAGGCTGCGGCAAAAGGATTGCTTGAACCCAGGAATTGGAGGCTGCAGTGAGGTGTCATTATGCCACTGCACTCCAGCCTGGGTGACAGAGTAACACCTTGTCTCTATAAGAAGAAGGAGAAGGAAAGAGAAGAAGAAGAAAGAGGAGGAGGAGGAGAAAGCAGAAGAAGAGGAAGAAGAAGGAGGAGGAAGAGGAGAAGGAGTCAGAAGAAGAAGAAGAAGGAGAAGAAGAGAGAAAAGAAAGGAAAGAAGGAAAGAAGAAAGAAAAGAAAGAGAAAGGAAGAAAGGAAGAAGAAAGAAAGAGAAAGAAAGAGAGAAAGAAAAAGAAAGAAAGAAGGAAAGAAGGTCACCACCAAGAACAAGAGCAGGAAGAGGCCTTACAGTAGACGGTGAGGGTGATGAGAGGCGAATGGCCCTTGCCCACTCTGTTGGTCCCCTGGCACCAGTAAGCACCGGAGTGCTGGACCTTCACCGGCTCCAATCTCAGCATCCGGCCGGAGTAGGGAAGGCTTTGGTTATTCCAGTCAAACCAGGCGTAGCTGTAGACGGGAGGGTTGGCGTCACTCTCACAGATCAGGGTTGCCGTCTTCCCCTCCATCACTTGGTTCCCCTGGCTCATGGACACACGCAGCCTCCTGGGTGCATCTGCATGGCGGGCAGGGGGAGGGGGTGCAAAGTCACCACCAGGCAGGCCACTGGTCCCCGCTCTGCTCCACTCCCAGCCTCTGGCCCCAACTCACACAGCACTTCGAGTGTCCAGGCCTTGGACGCCGTCTGTCCTATGGAGTTGTTCACCCAGCAGCTGTAACTCCCAGCATCTTCTGGGGAGATGGAGTCAAAATTCAGCTGGCTTTCTTTCCCCAGAAGGCTGCCATTTTTCTCCCAGAAGAACTGGACTTCTTTGGGGTGGCTGCTTGAGAAGTCACATTGGAGGCTGACCGAGTTCCCAGAGTGAATCTCAGAAAGGGGCTTGATTTTCCGGACCCTCACGCCTCGGGGGGCATCTGGAGGGCAAGGGTCCCAAGCTGACCTCTCCGCTCCCTGTCCCTTTTGCTGTCCCCAGGCCTCCCCTCCCCTTGGACCTGAGGCTGGGCTCCTGTCCCTCAATTCTCTTGAAGACACTGGCCCAGGCTCTGGCCTCGTCCCCTTCTTCCCCTCATCCCAGCCGGGACACCTCCCAGATCCCCCTGCCTAGCCCAGAGACTCACACAGGACATTCAGGGTGACAGGGGAGGCCCACGAGCACCAGTTGTTACAAGCTGCGCAGGCGACGGCTGTGTTGTTCCAGCCAATGTTTTGGATCTTCAGCACCCCGAGCGATGGCTCCTCCCAGCCGCCACGGGGTCTCCATTCGTAGTGGTTAACAATGGGGTTACTGGAACTGTAGTTACAGGAAAGGGTCACCGTGTCTCCTTCTCGAATCGGCGTGGGGTTTTCAATCACCATGGTCACCTTCTTGGGAGGATCTGGAAGAAAGCCGGAGAGGTGAGTAAAGAAAAGCCAGCTGTCCATAGTACCTCTTCCCTCCTGCTCCCTCTTCTCCCGTTACCTGTCCCGGGCATCTGCACAGGTCCTAAATTAATCTAAGGGGAGCTTGTGCTTCCTTCCTGTATCTGTGCAAGAACAGAAACCTTGCCCTGGCTCTCTGGCCTGGCTGTGGTTTGGTGCAGGGGTTCGGGGCACAGTGCTGAAGCCAGACGGCTGCCGAGAGGTGCACGGGCATGGGCTGCAGGTCTCAGTTTACGCATCTGTCAAATGGGGTCCTGAGGCCAGGCACGGTGGCTCACATTTGTAATCTCAGCACTTTGGGAGGCCGAAGCGGGCGGATCACCTGAGGTCAGGAGTTCTAGACCAGCCTCGCCAACACAGCAAAACCCCGTCTCTACTAAAAAGTTTAAAAATCAGCTATGCATGGTGGTACATGTCTATAGTCCCAGTTAGGAGGCTGAGGCAAGAGAATCGCTTGAACCTGGGAGGTGGAGGTTGCAGTGAACAGAGATCAAGCCACTACACTCCAGCCTGGGCAACAGAGGGAGACTCCATCTCAAAAACAAAAGGCCACGGAGGGGAGGTGGGGGGTGAGTCCTGAGAGTTCCTAACCTCCTGGGAATTGTTTCAAGAAGGAAATGAGACGATGCCCTTAGAGCAGAGTGTGGCGTGTGGCAAACACTCCACAAACATCACTGCGGCTGTTGCAGTCGCACATCCAGCTGTCTGAGATGCTCAGGATTTGGGCACCCTGTCCCATTAGCACATATGACATCTCAGGGTCCAAGGATGAAGCCTATGCGTTTTTTTTTTTTGTCCTGTGCCCTACTCGGTGACAAGATTCACTGTGTTAAAGAGGGTCTCACAATGGAGAGGTAATGAGACAGTTTGCCCCAGTTCTTATCAAAAATTTCAAGACCTCTTTTAAGACTCAGGCACTGCCTAGGTTGGCTAAGTCTCTGTCTGTGTCCCTCATGGAGTCCTGGTATCTTGCAGTTAATTATTCTTTTTTTTTTTGGAGACAGAGTCTCACTCTATCCCCCAGGCTAGAGTACAGTGGCCTGATCTCGGCTCACTGCAACCTCTGCCTCCTGGGTTCAAGCGATTCTCCTGCTTCAGCCTCCCGGGATTACAGGTGCCCGCCACCACACGCAGCTAATTTGTTGTATTTTTAGTAGAGACAGGGTTTCGCTATGTTGACCAGGCTGGTCTCGAACTCCTGACCTCAGGTGATCCGCCCACTTTGGCCTCTCAAAGTTCTAGGATTACAGGCGTGAGCCACATGCCTGGTCAATCCTGCTTCTTTTTTTTTTTTTTTCTTTTTCCTTTCTTTCTTTTCTTTTTTTTTTTTTTTGAGACAAGTTCTCACTGAGTCATCCAGGCTGGAGTGCAGTGGTTCGATCACCAGCTCACTGCAGCCTCAACCTCCAGGCTCAGGTGATCCTCCCACCTCAGCCTCCTGGGTAGCTGATACTACAGGCGTACATGACCATGCCAGGCTAATTTCTTGTAGAGATGGGATTTTACCATGTTGCCCAGGCTGGACTCGAACTCCTGGCCTCAAGTGATCTGCCCACCTCGGCCTCCCAAAATGCTGGGATTACAAGTGTGAGTCATCATGCCCAGCTCACACCTATAATCCCAGTCCCAGCATTTTCTTTTTCTTTTTCTTTTTGAGACCCAGGTCTTGCTCTGTCACCCAGGCTGGAGTGCAGTAGCAGGAACACAGATCACTGTGCAGCCTCGACCTCCTGGGCTCGAGCAATTCTCCCACCTCAGCCTCCCCAGTAGCTGGGACCACCAGCATGCACCACCATGCTCAGCTAATTTTTGTATTTTTTTGTAGATATGGTATCTCGATGTGTGGCCCAGGCTGGTTTCAAACTCCTGAGTTCAGGAGACCCTCCTGCCTCAGCTTCCCAAAGAGCTGGGATTGCAGATGTGAGCCACTGCACCTGGCCTCATTCATTCAACAAGCATCTACAGGCTGGGTGCGGTGGCTCACGCCTGTAATCCCAGCACTTTGGGAGGCCAAGGCGGGTGGATCATGAGGTCAGGAGGTTGAGATCCGGCTGACACAGTGAAAGCCCGTCTGTACTAAAAATATAAAAAATGAGCCGGGCGTGGTGGCGGGCGCCTGTAGTCCCAGCTACTCAGGAGGCTGAGGCAGGAGAATGGCGTGAACCCGGGAAGGCGGAGCTTGCAGTGAGCCGAGATCGCACCACTGCACTCCAGCCTGGGTGACAGAGCGAGACTCCGTCTCAAAAAAACAAACAAACCAAAAAAAAAAAACAAACCAAGCATCTACCGAGCACCCTCCGTGAGCTAGGCGCACAGCTGTGAACAGCAACAAGCAACAGAGCCCCTGCCCTGAGAAGCTTACAGGTCAGGAGACTCTGGCTGCTCCTTGCTCTTGACTCTAGGACCCTAGAATGCCCTGCACCCCATCTGCCTTCCGCCTTCCCCATCCATCTTCTCTCCCTAGAACCAGAGACTCTGTGGCTACTCACACTGGACATCCAGCTCAGTTCCCGGGCCCCTCTCTCCAATACCAAGAATGTTTTCCGCCTCACAGGAATAAGTCCCAGCGTGCCAGGGGAGGATCTTTTGGATCTGGAATTGCTTCTCTGTCCTTCCCTGCACTTCTTTGCCATTGTGGTACCACGTGTAATTTGTTGGAAGAGGATTGGCTGGTGATATGCAAAGAAAGTTGACTTCACTTCCCTCCACAGCCGGTGACTGGGAGATCTGAACCCTGGAAGGTTCCGGGGCATCTGGAAGAGGGGGCAGAGGTGAGTGGAGGGGTGAGGAGAGCACCCCCAATCTGTGCACACGGTCCCGAGAGCCCCCGTAGCTTGCCTCTCCGGGTCCACCCCTGCTACCTCCCTGCCTGGCCCATCCCCAGCTGCGAGGGGCTCACACTGCACTTGCAGGAACACTTTTTCCGACGTTGCCGGGCCCACGTCATTGGAGACCCTACAGCAGTACCTCCCAGTCTGGGACTTGGTCACTTCGTGCAGGGTTAGCGTGAGCGTATTCTGCTCCTTCAGCGGGATGCCATCCTTGAGCCAGGATACCGTCGTGTACTCCGGGTTGCTGCTGTTGACCTTGCAGGTCATGGTCACAGAGTCCCCCTTCCTCACTATGGTTTCATTGGAAGTGACCTCGATCGTCAACTTTGGGGTGTCTGAAGGAGCAGAGGGGCAGTCAGGGAGGGGGCGGGGAATTCTCAGAGGGCGGAGGGTGTGGAAAGTGCTTTTATTCTGACAAAGTGGTGACCTGCCAGTCCCTTCACCCAGGTGATGGTCACGGCCTCCTAACTCGGCTCTCAGCTTCCCCCTCCCACTTCCTCTACCTGCTAGTCTCCACCAGCAGCACGCAGGGTTCCTAACACCATCCACCAGACCTCACCAATTCTGCTGGAAACCATGAGTGGTTTCCGTGCTTTGCATAGAATCCCAAACCCTCACCTCAGCCGTCGGGATCCAGAGTCCTGCTCCATCTCCTGCCTCCTGTCCTACCATGTGGCCCTCAGAGGCCGTGAACTTCAGCCTCTGAGGTTCTCCCACTCCCAGCTCCTGCCTCAAAGCTTTGAACCTGCTCTTCTCTTTCCCTGAAATCCTCCTCTCGCAAATATTTGCTGGCCTCAGCCCTTTCCTCCATTCCAGTCAGCTTAAGTGCTCACCTTCTTAGAGAGGTCTCTCTCCATCACTCCCCTCTCCCGGCCTTATTTTTTCCCTAACACACATATCACTACCTACAATAGTGTTGTATATTTCTTTGTTAACATTGCTTTGTTCCATATTCTAATGTCTTGGCTCATGCTGTGTATTTCTTTGTTAATCCATTTGTTGTCTGTCTCTTTCACTGCAGTGCCGGCTCCGTGTGGGGCAAGAGCTTTGCTCACTGCTGTACCCTGCCCCCCACCCTGTGCCCCCCACTGGCAGCCATAATAAGGCCTGGTGCCTAGTAGGTTCGTGATAGATATTTCTTGAATGAATGAGGCACAAGATAATGATGCGAAAAAAAATCTCCACCAAGAGGGGAACAAAAAGACCTAACCAGATAATCCCCAAATCATGTCATGGCTTGAGGATGGACCGTTTTATTCTGTTAGGCTAAAGCAAATCTGTTTCCCAAAACACCAGGGCGGCGTGACCGAGGTTGGAGGACGCCACCGTCTGTGCAGGCTTCTCGGTGCCCTGGGTGTGTGCCCCCTGCAGGGCTGGGGAGAAGGTGACACAGACCTTGCCCTTCCCATAGGCACGTCGGGGAGACTCACGCTTCACGTTCAGCTGCACCGTGTCTTCGGAGAGGACCTTCCCATCCGCATCGTGAAGCTCGCAGGTCACGATCTTCCCATGGTGACTCCACTGTGGCAAGAACTTGAGCTCGCTCCGGGTGAAGACAGACTTGGTGCTCAAGGAGGTCGAGGTGACAGCAGCCTGCCTCATTGGAACCCCCTCTAGTAACCACTGCAATTGGATCTGATACCCATAGCAGGAGAAATTCAGCAAGCAGGTCAGAGTGACTTCCTGGGATTCTTGAAGTTTCGGGGGGAGCTGGATACGAGGTGGAAAAGGCCTTTCTGCAAAAGAAGAGTCCACGCTGGAGGCTGGGGGACTGAAGACGTGAGCACACACCTGGCTTCAGATGGCCCGTCCCAAATCACCCCTCAGGAACCCCTTGCCACTTCATTCCACCTCTCTCCAGTCCTGCTTTGTTGTTGTTGTTGTTTGTTTGTTTTTGTTTTTGTTTTGTTTTGTTTTTTTGAGATGAAGTTTCCCTCTGTCACCCAGGCTGGGGTGCAGTGGCGTGATCTTGGCTCGCTGTAACCTCTACCTCCCCAGTTCAAGTGATCCTCCTGCCTCAGCCTCCCAAGTAGCTGGGATTACAGGTGCCCACCACCACGCCCAGCTAACTTTTTGTATTTCTAGTAGACACAGGGTTTCGCCATGTTGGCCAGGCTGGTCTTGAACTCCTGACCTCAAGTGATCCTCCTGCCTCAGCCTCCCAAAGTGCTGAGATGACAGGTGTGAGCCACCACACCCGGCCTCGATGGTTTTTAGAGACAGGGTCTTGCTCTGACACCCAGGCTGGAGTGCGGTGGCACAATTCTAGCTCACTGTAGCCTTGACCTCCTAGGCTCAAGCAATCCTCTCACCTCAGCCCCCTGAGTAACTGGGACTACAGGCATGTGCCACCACACCTAGCTAGTTTTTTAAACATTTTGTAGAGACAGGGTCTTTCCATGTTATCCAGTCTGGTCTCAAACTCCTGGGCTCAAACGATCCTCCAACCTCAGCCTCCCAAAGTGCTGGGGTTAGAGGCAGGAACCACTGCACCCAGCCCAGTCCTGCTTTTCTCCACTTCGAATCACTTTTGCTCACCTGAAATCCTCTCTGAAAGGCCTTGACCACACTAAACCTCCTTGGGAACTGTAATCCACTCTCTTTTCATGCTCATTGCCGGATGTCTGCTTTCTGAATGATTGCAAAGTTCTGTTCCCACCACCTCTAAGTGAATTTTATCAGTTTAGTTCACAGGCTTTTCAGCTTTGACAAACCTGTGTTGGTTTCATGGCTTCCTTCAGTATTGCAGCCATCCAAACACCGCATTCCTTTAGTGGGGTGGGTCTGTGTGCACCCAGCCTCAGCTCTCCCCAAGGCTGGACCACCTCCTTCAGACAGCGGGGTCTGAAACTGCATTGCTCACTCCAAACTTAAGGCTGCTTAGAACTGCCCATCCAGGAAACGGTGTGGAACGGAGTGCCCACACTCCCTATGGCAGGGGCCCCTCACACCTGTGTTTCATGGGTCAAAGCCACGCCTACATATGCAGTGCTATGGCTGAGCTTATGTTATACAAATTGTAAGATGTTCGTTTTGCTTCTTTTCTTTTCTCTTTGTCCTTTTCTTCCTCCATGCAAGATTAGTTACATTTGGTCATTTCAGTAGCAGGTAACCATTAATTCACTAATAATTGTTTAACTTACATCCTGACCCCCCGGCAGCTGCCTGCAAGATAAATGAACTTGTCTCTCTTTCAAAGAACAATGATCCTTAGGTCACACAGACCTCCTTGATGACATCCAGAAATTTGATGAGCTGAGAGACACAACAGCTTTAATGATCAGGAGGTCACCTCCTGCACACCTACTTTATTCATAAAAGCCCCCAGTAATGCTCAAAGTCGGGTCAGATTTGAGAGTTTCTCTCTTCTGTCCCCTCGCTTTGGCTAAATTAAATAATCCTTTCTTAGCTTCTAAGCACTGATGTGTCAGTGTTTGGCTGACTACGCATCGGGAGCTCAAACCTGGCCTGTGGGGTTCGACAACAGTGTCATCTAACCTTGAAGAGCTCATGAGAACTTGCCATGAACATTAACACACTGAGAGATTTCACTGGAAAATCTAGATTTCCATCATCTCTTGAAAAACCAGAAGATCAGGCCGGGTGTGGTGGCTCACGCCTATAATCCCAATGCTTTGAGAGGTTGAAGCAGGAGGATTGCTTGAGGTCGGAGTTCAAGACCAGTCTGGGCAACATAGGAAGACCCATTTCTACAATAAATTAAAAAGTTAGCCGGGCATGGATGGTGGCATGCACCTGTGATCCTAACTAGTGGGAGGTGGGAGGATAGCTTGAGCCCGGGAGATCAAGGCTGCAGTGAGCTGAGATCGCACCACTGCACTCCAGTCTGGGTGACGACAGTGCGAGACCCTGTCTCATAAAAAGGGAAAGGAAGGGGAAGGGGAAAAGAAGAGAAAAAAAGTTAAAAAATATTTTATGATTTTTATAACACAGGTTCAGTTATGGCACTGCACATGTAGGGGTGGATTTGACTCATCAAACACACATCTGGGGCCTCTGCCCCAGGGAGTGTGGTTACTCCGTTCCACACACAGTTTCCTCTATAGGGAGCTCTGAGCAGCCCTAAGTTTAGGGTGAGCGATGCAGCTTCAGACCCCGCTGTCTGAAGGGGGCAGTCTAGTCTGGGAGAGAGCTGAGGCTGGCTACATGCAGACCCACCCCACTAAAGGGATGCGGAGCTTGGATGGTTACCGTACTAAGGCCAAACACGAGTTTGTCACAAAAGCTGAAAAATACATGGTGAGAAAGAAACAGAGAAAGATCAGGAGATCCGACAACCTTGGAATCCAGGTCCCAGAGGGGCAGGAACTGAGGGTCAGATGGGACATCCGAGGTCCCGCAGCTCCGACTAGTGCTGATGCGTCGCCATCGTCACCCGCTGGCGTCCCCTGCCTGAGCTCTGCAGGAAGCTCGGTTTGTGAGCTCTCTGCCAGGAGTCAGGTATTTCCTGCCTCCCACTCACCCCTGCCCAGAGCAGAAGACCCGCTCCCCGAAGGCCTTACCGGAGACATTGAGGTGTATTCGTTCCATCCATTTCTCAGTCTTGGACACCATCCTCAGCCCCAGCTGACCACTGTCATTGACGTGCACTGGGTGGATACTCAGTGTGCAGTTGTTGTTAATCTTGTTCCCCAGGAATTGCACCCTTTTCTGCCCTGAAGGAACTTTCCCATCCTTTGTGCTTTCATAGAGTCTGGTCCCTTCGAACTTCGACATGTTCTGGTTATACTCAGGATTGTGGAACAGGATGAAGGTTTCCAGGGCACCATCTAGGACTCTGTAGGTGCAGGGGACCCAGACGCAGGCCCCCTCCCAGGCGTAGATGGTTCCAGGGTGATCAATATTCCATTTACTTGAGTCAGAGAAAGCCAAGTATTCTAGAACTCACCACAGTGATCAGAAAGCATTACTGAGGGGGCACGAGAGCCTTCTTTTACAAATTATTCTTTATTTTAAAATTTGTTTAATTTTTAATTCTTTTTAGAGATAGGGGTCTTGCTAAGTTGCCCAAGCTGGCTTCAAACTCCTGACCTCAAGTGATCCTCCCACCTCAGCCTCACAAAGTGCTGGCATTTCAGGCATGAGCCACTGCACCCAGCTGAGAGCTTTCCAAAAACTAAAGAATTCTCTCTGAAGATAGTGGGAGAAGTACAGAGATACACAAAGACAGCAGGATGCAATGAGAGAAGCGTATGTATATATGGGAAACATATATATTTGTATGTACATCTATCTATACACACTGCCACCCCCACCCTACCCTATGTTGACGCCTCTCTGCCCGGGTCTTTCCTCCTCCTCCAGTGCCCGCTGACATCCCAGAACCCCAGTACTGGCCCAGGCCACAGTCCTTACCCAGGAGCAGGAGCCAGGGGCCGAGGAGATGCATGGTGTCGTGTCTGGGTGGAAGCCTGAGCAGGGGAGAGTTTGTCTTTGAGCCATCTGGCCACTGACTTCTTCCACATGGCTTTTCTTGCTCACCCACTGAGCTCCGACCCTTCCCCTAGATCTGGGAGGACTGGGTCTGGTTGCATTATGGGGATGTGGCATTTGAGATGCTCACAGAGTTCTTTCTTTTTTTTTGAGACAGAGTCTTGCTCTGTCTCCCAGGCTAGAGTGCAGTGGTGCAATCTCCGCTCACTGCAACCTCTGCTTCCCAGGCTCAAGCACTTCTCTGGCCTCGGCCCACCAAGTAGCTGGGTAAAGGCAGGTGTCACCATGCCTGGCTGATTTTTGTATTTTCAGTAGAGATGGGGCTTCACTATGTTGGCCAGGCTGATCTTGAACTCCTGACCTCAGGTGATCTGCCAGCCTCGGCCTCCCAAAGTGCTGGGACTACAGGGGTGAGCCACCACTCCTGGCCGGGAGTTTTTTCTAGGTATGCTGTGCCTCTCCTTCAAACTGAGAGCCCTGTGAGGGCAGCTTCTCTCTCTTCCCAGAACTCCTTCCTTTCTTCCTTCCTTCCTCCCTTGCTTCCTTTTTTCCATCCATCCATTCATCCATCTCTAATTTTACAAACTTCCTGCCTCGCTCGCAGGCTTTGAGTGGCACCAGACCACTGAGTGCCTTGAATGCCAGGCCCCGGATAACATGGAGCTCTCTCTGGTGCTACTCATCAAAGATTATACTCAGGGACAGACATGGTCAAAACTTGGTTTGAAAGACCAGGCAAAAAGGAATTTTAAAACCAGTAACAAAGTATGGGTGAGCCAGGTGCAGTGGCTCACACCTGTAATCCCAATACTTTGGGATGCCAAGGCAGGCAGATCACTTGAGGTCAGGAGTTCAAGACCAGCCTGGCCAACATGGCAAAACCCCATCTTTACTAAAAATGCAAAAGATTAGCTGGGCGTGGTGGCGCACACCTGTAATCCCAGCTACTCGGGAGGCTGAGGCAGGAGAGTTGCTTGAACCCGGGAAGTGGAGGTTGCAGTGAGCCAAGATCGTGCTACTGCACTCCAGCCTGGGTGACAGACCCAGATCCTGTCTCAGAACAAAAACAAAACAAAAAATAAAGTGTGACACCAGGAGAGCATTTTGAGGGGAAGGTCTCTGGAGAATGCCCCACAGGCCAGGTAGGAAACGTAAATCAACCAAGTGGGGACAAAGGTTGTACCTCCTCTAAAGGTGGTAGCTGTCTCAGTTCTAGTCAGTTATTGCCAGACAGAACCTGAGCTCAGCACTGTCTGATCTTCCACTGTAAGAGAAGTAAGAAGCTAAACTTCTAAGTGGAATGACCTACTTAAAAAGAAAAATAGACCAAGGAGAAGTGGCCAATGTGGGAGGATTACTTGAGGTCAGGAGTTTGAGACCAGCCTGGCCAACATAACAAGACCACGTCTCTACAAAAAAAGTTTAAAAATTAGCCAGGCATGGTGGCGCACACCTGTGGTCTCAGCTAATTAGGAGGCTGAGGTGGGAGGATCAGTTGAGCCCAGGAGGTCAAGCCTGCAGTGAATGGTGATCTCCCCACTGCACTCCAGCCTGTTCAATAGGGCGAGACCCTGTCTTGAAAAAATAAAAAATAGGCCGGGTGTGGTGGCTCATGCCTGTAATCCCAACACTTTGGGAGGCCGAGACGGGCGGATCACGAGGTCAGGAGATCGAGACCATCCTGACTAACACGGTGAAACCCCGTCTCTACTAAAAATACAAAAATTAGCCTGGCGAGGTGGCGGGCGCCTGTAGTCCCAGCTACATGGGAGGCTGAGCCAGGAGAATGGCATGAACCCGGGAGGTGGAGCTTTCAGTGAGTGGAGATCGCGCCACTGCACTCCAGCCTGGGCGACAGAGCGAGACTCCGTCTCAAAAAAAAA